CAGACAACACATTTGCTTTTCACAGCGTTTCTTCTAGTAGGTTACCTGTGGATCGCATCTTCAACACCGTCAGCTAATCAAACAAAAGCCCTGTTTAGTATTTTATTTGAAGATAAAATTTTACTATTTAGGGTTCAAATATAGTATCTCGAATCACAATAAAGCTGGCGAGGGTGAAACTACCAAAATAAGTATACAGACAAATTAATCTGGTATTAAGCTGCTGCTCACAAGTAGAGCTTGTTGGTAAGTGAAACGTTTTATTGAACTTAACTCTAGCTCATTTCTAAAAATATGTCCCTTAGAGGGCTGCTGAGATCGGCTAAATCACCATCAAGCAAAAGTATCCGAAATATTATTAGATCAGGATCTCCGAAGTTATCGTCCAGCCGAAAGTCTCTAGTTTTTAGGGCCAGGTCATTTGTAGATCTTTGGAAAGTTTAAAGCGACGTATATCTTGCAAATTTATTGTCGTTCTTAGCGTTTGCCTACTACAACATAATCCTCTTCCTGTGTGTTATCAATGGTGAGCTATAAATTATATTTAGTCTGGTATTATTCTAATTCTAAGGTTGAACATAATTCCAGTCTCAATCCGGTGGATACGTAAGCCTCCTTAGCGATTAAATGCAGGCTTAGCGGCAATTGGCTCTTAACAATCCACATATAAATATTTTAGTGACTTAGTAAAGGGAATAGCATTTATTTTCAATGTTTGTTTCTCTTTAGCTAATTTTCAAGTAACACAACTCCCCAAGAACACTATTTAGCATTTTTTCACCACACTGATTCATACTGTTTTACAGAATGTAACCTAGAATCACTAATATTACCAGGACTTTTTTCTTTGGATATGCTTTGATACTCTCCTTTTATTCGCCTGTCTAAATGTAACTGTTTCTTATATTAGTTGGTAACCGATCTGTCATCTCCCTGACATTGCTTATCAATGAAAAACCAATACAACTTGCCTAAGCCATCCAAAAATTCTTCATACGTCAGATGCTCATCACCATCCTGGTCTAGGGACGTGAACACGGCGTCCAACTGCTCCTCTGTGAAAGGTAGAACTTCGCAGAGGCGGGCTAAATCCTCACGTGTCAGGAAGCCACGATTCTCTGGGTCACAGAGCTTGTACAGCTGGCGAGCTTGTCGTTCAGTAGGTGAACATTCTTCATCCATTGACATGTGTTTGGTAGCGAACGTCAGCTAACAGTGTACATATACAAACTTCAGCTCTGCCGATTAATATATGCCCTGTACTGTTGGGAAGCGTCAACAAGACGCCTAGCCGGCCAGAAAACGCTGTCGGAGCCAGCCAATGTGCTCAGAGCACATGACCGACTACGTGCCACTATGGATCTGCGCTTC